TTGTGTGTGACTCTGGGGGTTGCTGTCTAGGGCAGGTATTCCAGGAGGGGCTGGTGTCCGTTTGAGGCCCCCGGAGGCTGCTTGACCAAACAGAATGGGTGTCAAGGCAGCAATCCCATGGAGAAGTTGAGCCAAAATGTGGACAGTCCACCCCTGATGCCTTGGCACCAGGAATAGCAACCACTTGTGAAGTGAGATGTTAAAGGATGTCGCGACTGTTTCCTGAAGCCATGGGAAAGCACTTTTCATGAAGGCGGCAGTGACGAGGCCTGTGAACAGACTCAATGTTTCAAATCCCTCTCTCAGCCGTTGCCCCTGGTGGAGGGCTAGAGCTGTGAGGACATCTTAGGGACCTCGGGGAGTGTGGGAATGGGTTGACATATTATAGTGATATTCTGCCCAACCTGTATGTCTTGAGACATCTGGAGGTTGGCCTGTAGCTGTCCTGAGTTCTTAATGTCCACGCAGCAAGAGGTTCCCTGCAGAGAACAGATTCCATGCCACCCACAATGCCCATGGATTCTTTTTGTGGACGGCAGCTTCACAAAGCAGAGATCACCCTGCTAAACTACGAGAGGATGCTTAGAGCGCAACCCTGCCAGGCACATGCGCTGACTTGGTTACACCGGGATGGCCATTCAGCCTGGGATGGAATTTGAGGTGTGGTTTAAGGAGGGAGCTATTCATGTCAGTGTCACCTCCGCTGACACCATTTAATGTGGAGGGAGGTGAGCTCGGGGCCAGAATCTGTGCCTGGTGGCATGCTGGGACCTGGTGCTCGGCGTCCTGTACTGCGCTGGTGCATCTGGCTGATTTGTCCCAGTGCTTCTCCTGGGGCAGGGTTAGGGCCCAGGGGTCCAGTAGCAACCCTACTATCCGGATAAGAGGAAGAGCCACATCCAGGGAGAGTGTTTGCCTTTGTCTGGCTGGTGGGGCGTCCCTCGGGGTCAGCAGTCTGTGCACTGATGTGGGGCCGAGCGTGGCCACCGTGCAGGCTGACGTTCCTCAGTCTGTCTCCGGCAGGTGGGGGGGCCTGGCCTGAGTCCGCTGATTGTGGCTGCTGGGCCCCAGGGTTTCTGTTTAGATGACATTTCCTAATGGGACTGGCATCCAGAGGTGGAGGGCATCTCGTCCTCTCTCTGAGATGCACGTGGTTTTGCTAGTGGGTCCTGGTGCTATCATTTCAAGTTCTGCAAAATTTTTGATGAATCTGCTGAAATTAGCTAGCCGTTATAACCCGAATGATGAGGCAGTGCTCCTGGCCTTAGCTTGGCGGCTGCTGCTGAGCCACCGTCTGGGACAATGAAATCCACGTAATCAAGTTCTCTAAGCAATTTCATGGGAGAGTCCCCCTTGGGCTATTATAACTGGTTCTATTGCACAGTCCGCCGTCCATCAGGTGGCCAGTGTGTGAAAGGTGGCGAGACAGGGGGAAAATCAAGATGAGAAGGGAGCGTTCGTCCAGGGATGGGATGTGAATGATGTCCTCCCTGGTGTTGGGTGGGGGGGACCTGCAGGGAGATCTGGGATTGATGTGGGCGGTTCGGAGACCTGAGGGCTGCAAATTGAGCACTATTAGAGACTGGGGTAACCCTCTGTCCACTCGGGGGCCACAGCTGTTTGACGCCCGAGGAGCAGGTCTTGAGTGGGCCTGTGTGCTTCTCCACACATCCTGCCACTTGGGGCCCGTGAGTTGGGTGGGGATTACAAGGCGGCATGTTTTAGAGCCCAGGACTGAACTTGGGAGGTGAAATGAGTACCTTCATCTGAATCTGAAATGTCTGGTGGGCGAAAGGGGATGAGCACACACCTGGTCAAGAAGAGGACACGATGGGAAGCAGCGTTTCTGGAGGAGCGGCCTGCAGGAGTCCACTGAAGGTGTCCATGATGGTGCTTGCGTACCTCCTTGCTCCAGCAGAGGGTGGCAGCGGTCCAGTTCAATCCATTTCCCGTCCAGAATAAGGTCTGTCGCCCCAGGGCATGTGTCCCCACCTGGGAGACTTCCAGAATTTCATTTGGGTGCAAAGGAGGCCATTATCTGCCACCACTTTGGCTAAGCCAAGGTTAGGAGGACTGTCCACCTGTGTCCCCACTGAATGCTGTCACCCACTATGGTCTGATGTCACATGGACCACTCAGCTGAAGGGTGTGGTGTCTCTGGAATAGTTGAGACAAGGGCTGTGTTTGGTCCTCTGGGAGGTGGCTCACATGGGGCCTCAGAGCAGATGCACGGTTTGGAATAAGGGGCCTATAACATTATTATTGTCTGGTTCTGGTGTGTGGTGGCATGTGTGTGCAGTCAAGAGTGACCACAATCGGCGTGTGAGTTGGCCATCTCTTTCCAACTGGAGACACCCCAGACAGGCTTTCCCTGAATCGTGAAATGATACCTTGGCCATTGTCCTGTCCACACTGCAAGCCCAGTGGCTACTGCTCAGGGGTCCACAGAAACGTGTGCCTTTGGGAGCCTCCTTTTGATGACCTGTCGTACAGCCAGGCATACTGCCACCAGCTCTGCCAGTTGGGCCGAGCCAGGAGAGCCCTCCTCCACGAGGGATGTGCCGCCAGCATGGTGACATGCCCTGGGCTTCCAGTAGACTGCGCTGTGCACAGTGCTGGTGCTGTCATCAGGAAAGCACACCAACTCCCTTTCCACGTCAGGCAGTGGTCCCAAGGGCCTCCCCAAACTGTGAGAGGCCAGCAGTGGGGGTGCCACGAGCTGCAGCTCCATGTCAGAGGGCAGAGGCTGAGCGTGGGGGGGGTGCCACATCCTCCTGTCACCCGGAAAGGCCCTGACGACAGGTTTAGCCCTTTTCTGGAGGTAGGACTTCCATTTTAAGTGCGAGGCCTTGTGGCCACGCCAAGCCTCTGCTGGGCTGAACCCCTGACCTAGGGCAGGATGGAGACTTGTCTGTGTAGCAGTACAGCCATGAGCCTATTAATGCCTCTGTCTCTGAAAGGGCCCAGCAGGCTGCAAGATGTGGGGCTCGAGTGGGCTGTACCAGGCCACTGTTGGGGCAGGTGTTTGGTCCAGAGCCCACGGACAGCCAGGTGGGGCCATGCTGAGTCCAGAGACTCTGTGAGGTATCATCAGGCATCGCCAATAACTCAACTCAGACGTCTGAGCCCAGAGGGACTGGGAGCGGGCTGCTGTGTGGCTTGCTGCACCTGCTGTCAGGCAGCTTCTTGAGGTCTCCCCAACAATAGAAATGAAGAAGCCAATTTGTGCGTAATGGCATAGATGGGCCTGAGTAGAACGCATAAGTGTGGCATGTGTTGCCTCCAAAAGGTAAAGAGACCTACTGGGTGCTGTCTGCCAGTGTTGTGGGCAGCCCGACTGGGAGGAGTTTATGTCTTTTTTTTGTTTTGCTGAGGAAGATTGGCCCTGAGCTAACATGTGTTGCCAATCTTTCTTTTTTTATTTGTTTCTCCCCAAAGCCCCAGTACATAGTTGTACATCCTGGTTGTAGGTCATTCTAGTTCTATTATGTGGGGCACCATCAGAGCTTGGCTTGGTAAGTGGTGTGTAGGTCCATGCCCAGGATCCAGTGGACCCCGGGCTGCTGAAGCAGACTTTGCAAACTTAACCACTCGGCCATGGAGCCGGCCCCCAGTAGATGTCTCATAGTGAGAGGAAGTTCACGGCCTTCAGCTGACCACACAAGGCCAAGAAATTTGACAGAAGTGGCCGATCCTTGGATCTTATGTGTGGCAAGGGCCCCTCGTCTCTGCTGTAAATGTTGTGTTATCAGGTGTAAGTCTTTCTGGATGGCATCCTCACAGGGCCCCTGTAGTAGAATGTCATCTATATAATGTCAGTGGTGGCCATGGGCCAGCTGAGTGAATTTAGATCTTGGCCACATAGGTTACGTGTGATGGGAGGCTGTTTAGATAACCGTGGGCAGTGAGGAAACCCTGGGCTTCCTGAAAAGTGAGAGCAAACTGAGGTGGTCTTCAGTCATTGGGACCAAGTACATGTCGGCTACATCTAGGACAGCAGAATAGGGGCCCTGAGCCTTCTGGGTGTCACCTGTCATCTCCCTAATGTTGAGAATGGGAGTTGTAATGGTGGACCCTGTGCATTGAAGTTTCCATAGCCAGTTGTTAATCTTCTCTCATGGGTGACTGGTTCCAGCAGTGGCAGACAGATGGGGCTACTGCAGGGTGAGATGGTGGGCCAGGGACCCCAGTGTCAAGCCTATCTTTAACCACACACCTTGCTCCACCTGACGCTGTGGCATATTTCCTGTTTGCGCTGGAGAAGGCAGTTGGTCAGGTTCCCATTTGGCATTGCTCCTGGGCAACTGCAGGTGCAACTCAATCCATCCTGTTTGTGATGCCAGTTGTTGTAATTTTGTTCAATCAACATTTAAGTGGAGCCCCAGGTCAATAAGAGAGCACAAGGAAACTGAATTAGGGAGGCTATTTAGTCCCATTAGGACCTGGAGGGAGAGGGGCCCTACAGGAGGGCAGGACAGGTGCATGCAGAGAGTGTCTCCTGCAGAGGGAACACAGCTTGTGTTCCATTCTGACCCTCTGCCTTTGGGGTGGGTTGGGATCCATCTCACTTCAGGTTGGTAGTGACGGTGGCACCTGCTCCCTTGGTGCTCCCCCAGTCACACCCTCTCGTGTGCAGCAACTGTCTCTCTGGGATTTGGGTATAACACACTTTTCCAAGCCTTCCTGCGCCCCCTGTGGCTGCACAGACCTGGCCATCTGGTAAAGTAAACAGAAGAGGTGCAGAGTCACAGCCTCTAAGCAAATATTCAGCGAGCGTCCTTCCAACTTCATACATTCTGAAGAGCACTGGAAGCAAAGAACTATAACTTCACAAGGAAAACATCCTCTGGGTATTTAGAAGGGAACTATTTGGGGAAAAGGTTTGAATTAAGGATTTCATGGTTCTGATATGAAAAAGCAAGAGTCCCATGGAAAATGTCAGGCAAGGGCTCTAAGCTATCCTCTCAGTTAATGAAAAATGAAACATGACACTTGTAAGTAAAAAACATTTGAAAACCTAGGTAATGAGCTTGCTAAGTAACAACATAGGGAACTATATTTGACCAAAACTGCACATTGTTCTGAATCACATATACAAAAAGTGAAAAAACACTGAGTAATCACATATAAAAATGGAAAGCAAGAAAGCGTACATTCATCATTTAGACAGAAGTCAGCTGTAAGAAAAAACTATTACAAGCTGCCAAATATATTTACACTGTTGGTTGCAACCATGGAAATATCCAGAAACAAGAAATGCAGGGTCAGTGCAACCAAAGAGGGTCCATGATGGGGGAGCTTGTGGGAAAGTCTGTGGAACCTGCTGCCTCAGAGGGAACCAACGTCAAACATGGTGTTTGGCTGGGGCTGTTCCAGATGGGCAGAGCCGGAAGTCAGAAAAGTGGGCTGTGACGCAGGCCCCTAGGGTCCCACGCACTTCTGTCTCCTGATGGGACAGGAGAACTCAGAATTGTGGCTTCTCTACTTCTGCTTTCCAAACCTCATGTGTCTTCCTCTGCTAGTGAACTTTAACTCAGAGCCACAAACAGAAGGACTCTGGGACACATGGTTTCCCACCTTCCCCAAGGTGATAGAATAGTTCAGTAGAAGCCTCTGGACTCCAGCTCCATCTTCATGCCACAAGTCTCTCTTCTGAACTCAAAGCATCGTGACAATTTCCAACCAAGATCAAGGACAATGACCACAGGTCAAATTATGAACATAACCAGATGGGACTGTCGATCTTCCCACAATTACAAACTTCTTTGAGGAACACAGATGAGGTATCCACTAACAACAAACAAATGTGGAAGAATCACCTTTCAATAATGAAGACTGGAAGGAAGAGCAGATATTGAGTCAGAAAATTCCAGTATCAGCAGCAGACGCTGTTAAAAGAAAATTCAACAATACAGGTCTCACATCACGATCACATACTAGGAGCATAAAGTAAGAATCAAAACATAGTTCATCTAACATCGTATCAAGTTGCACATGAATAAAAACAGAAAAAACAAAACCCACTTATCTCCCCTGGATCCAAAAGACATTGTAATGGAAATGAGACAAGTTTTATATAATTGTACAAATATTTAAAATCCAAGATGAGAACACATATGTAGGACAGATGAAGGGGACATAGATATGTATTACCTTCAGAGTTCGGATTAGCAACACGAACTGGCAGTCAACACACTGGTTATCCCTACTATGGATGACGAGACACTTACAAAGGCAGAACCATATGTATATCAATTAAAAGACTTCCGTCCTGCCATGAGTCTTCAGGTACAAAAGAACTGAAATGGTACACGTGACGGTTTCCCCACAGTTTTCCTATTTATAACATTTCTCTCTAGTGCGTCTGCTCACATCTACAGCAAGCTTTTAAGGCAGAATAAAGGTTTTCCCCCAGTCTTTGTATTTGGATTTTCTCTCCAGCATGTGTCCTCATAGGTTTCAGGGATACCTGTAAGCTCTGCACCTTGCTGACATTCATAGGGTGTGCCCTGTGTGTGTTCTCAAATGTACTTGAAGGTTGGAGGAAAACCTGAAGGCTTTCCCACACTGCTTACATTCATAGGGTTTCTCCCCACTGTGGATCCGCACGTGTCCTCGAAGGGACGAGTGACCGGTGAAGGTTTTCCCACACTGCTGACATTCAAAGGGTCTCTCCCCAGTGTGCGTTCTCACATGTTCTCGTAAGGACAAGGAGTAACTGAAGGCTTTCCCACATTCCTTACATTCATATGGTCTCTCTCCACTGTGGGTTCTCACATGATCTCGAAGGGCAGTGTGACGACTGAAGGATTTCCCACACTGCTGACACTCATAGGGTCTCTCCCCACTGTGGGTCCTCTCGTGGACTTGAAGGAAGAAGTGATGGCTGAAGGCTTTCCCACAGTGCTGACACGCATAGGGTCTCTCCCCAGTGTGCAGTCTCACGTGCACCTGCAGGGATGCAGAAGAGCTGAAGGCTTTGCCACACTCGCTACACTCATAGGGTTTCACTCCACTGTGCACTCTCACGTGCCTTTGAAAATGGTGAGGCCTCTTGTAGGCTTTCCCACAGTGCTGACACTCATAGGGTCTCTCCTGACCGTGCGATCTCACATGTCGCTGAAGGGAGGAGTGACAACCGAAGGCTTTCCCACAGTGCTGACAAGCGTAAGGTTTCTCTTTATTACGAGTTCTTACATGTTCTGTACGACAGGAGTAAGTCATAAAGACTTTCTCACATACGTCACACACCTTGGTTTTCTGTCCATGGTGACCTCTGTCATGTTCCTGTAAGGATGAGATACAAGTACAAACTTTTCCACATTTCTTACACTCGAAAGATTTTTTACTACAAAGACTCTTCACGTGTCTCTCAGATGCTCTCCCAGTATCCCAACGTCTTCTACAGGGCTTCTCCACAATGTCTGTTTCCACATGAGAGCTAAGGCACGAGACACAACCGCAGGCCCGCCCACATTCCTCACATGGATGAGGTTTGTGTCCAGTGTGAGGTCTTTGCCGATTCTTTAGGAGACAACAATCTGTGAGGGCTTTTCCACACTTCGTGCATTCGTCGTGTTTAACTCTAGTCAGAGACTTCTCACGCACAGGAAGGTCTGTAATCTGGTTCAGGGTTTCTCCACAGCCATCACCTCCACTACTTCCATGGAGACTCTCCAGCAAATGGCTCCTGTTCAAAATAGGAAGCACCCTGTGAGGGATTGATGGTTATAAGTGATTTCTTTATGATTGATTTATTGACGGTTGTTAATGATTCTTTTGATATGCATCTGTCATTTTCAGTGAAAAGGAAGGTTTTTGGCACTGTCTGCATTGTTACAAAGTAGAAAAGGTTAATACTCTAGCTGAGGCCTCAAATATAGCAGTAACTTTCAGTGTTTACTACACACGGTGTTTCCTGATCACTGTTTCCAACTGAATTCTATTTCAAACGCTCAATATCTACATCTCATTTATGAAAATCTTACTTTGTGAAAATTCTCTCAGGACACAATTGTTTAGCTAGGGTTCTACTTTTTCTTTCATTTCCAGTCAGTCTAACCCACTGCTGAGACCCCTTCCTCCTGTGAGAATGCCACTCACCTCACACTCCTCTCCTGGGTTTGCTGATCTCCAAGGTTCTGAAATGTCCAATTTTCTCCAAAAGCAGAGCAGGAATCATTTCTGATGAATTTTACTTTTTTCTCTTCACTGGATATTTTATTCTCTGAAATATTCCACTGAGGAACTGATCCACTGATTTTAACTTGAGTGCAACAATCTGCAACAATGGGTAGCACAGTTTAATTTCTTGGGAAAGAAGTGGATACAGGAAAGAAAAGAGACCATATGTGGATTTCTTTTCATACGCTGACCCAAAAACGTAAACAAATTTTATGAAGAAGAACGGACATGCCAGGAAAGGAAAACTCTGTGGACCTCGGCTATCTGGGACTTTGGGGAGAGCAGGGTCAAAATGGAACGAGTCAAAATGGCAGCCTGTTCACTAAGAAATACTTCAAAAGACATGGAGAGGGATGTGGAAATAAATATTATCAGAAAAGCAAGATAGCAAGGAACTGGGCAAAGGCAGACCCCCCAATGCTCCCTTAGTAAGAGGAGATACAGAAGGTCTTCCCAGGGGGCGAGGAGCGATGACAAGTCAGCAGGGAAGCCAGGTAATAACAAACGTCACCCTTCTCAAACAGTGACAGAGTGACCTTTCTAATGTACGTGTCCAAATGTCATTCCCTCCTCCAGAGCCTGTTCCTCCCAAGGGTGGCTGCTTTCCTGGTGTGCACAGGCACACGGACCCAGAGGGAGCCTGTGTCCACTGCCCCAGCTGCCATGGGAAATGGATGGCGTGTGCAGCAGCTGATGCACGGGGAAGAGCTGACCGTGAGGGAGGACAGAGGGGAACAAACAGCCCATGAGACGGGCCCATACTTTGGTCTTCAAGGCCAGTGAGGATGGCTAAGTGCCAGGTTAATTCAGCAAAATGACCGTGTCAACTGTGTATTAACACAGTGTAACTGGCACAGGGGTGCAAACCATAGAGCTGCACCAAAGGGACACTGCAGACTATATTCATGCTCATAAATTCAGACACCTCTGACTTTTGTTCAAGAGGAATAAAAAGTCCACTTAATACATGAAACTTTGTTTTCCTGGAAAAGCTGTTTGACTCTAGGTGGTTCCACGAAGGCTTGGACAGTGTCTCTCTTATTTCAAACATATTCTCCTTTCTTGGCCCCAATAAAAAAGAACAAGTGTGAGAAACACTTGTTCCCTCCCAGACTCAGTGAAGGCATGAAGCCGTCCTCACCCACGGAGGCCAGGTTCCTGCAGGTCTCCAGCATCACGTCTCTGTAGAGCTTCCTCTGAGCACCATCCAGCAGAGCCCACTCCTCCGGGGTGAAGTTCACAGCCACGTCCTCAAAGACCAGCGAGTCCTGAAACAGCCCACACGTTCTACTTCAGCCAGGCCCCGTCTTCACCAAGGGGTGTGGGAGGAGGACAGCCGAAGACCTGGACTCAACTCCTAGGACTCCTGAGCTCTCACTCTCGTTGGAAATGACAATGAACGAGCAACTCAAATGCAGCATACTCAGTGGTGCTAAGTGCTTAGGAAGCTGCAGCAAAGTGCGTCCACAACAACTGATGTTGACCCATCCACACCCATGGTTATGAGAGTATTTCCTGAGACAGAGCAGACTCTGAGGTAAGGTGAAGACTGAAAAGTGCAATCACCTTTCAGAGAACGTGGGAATGGGTACGTGGATTGATCACAAGTTACGTCCTTGTCAGCTCCAGAACTGGAACCAGAACGTCAGGATGTTCTGAACCCTGAGACGTGCAGTGCGGCTTGAGCTGAACACTCTCTCCTTGGAGGCAACAGCATTGAGGACCCTGGTCTGATCCCCTCACGTCTGACAAAGGCAGAGACATGACCCCTCACCGGGTGAGGTGGACGCTGTGGGCGTAGACGTGGGCCAGGGCCTGGGACGCTTGACGGGTAAGAGGAGAGCCTGGTTCCTGAAGAATCTCCCAAGCTGCAGGGCCTCTCCAAGAAAGAACCGAGTGCTCGGAATGCGAGGAAAATGACCCAACAAAGGAGTCTCTGAAAGATCTGAAGCCAACAGAGCCAAAGGTGTCTTTAAAGAGGAAAAATAAACCTAATTAATATCTTTACAACAATATGTGGTGACACCACATTCGTGGAATAACAAGCAAACCATGATGAAGTGAAATTCAGAGATTTTTTTTAAAACAAAATAAATGTTCTTATGCCACAAGTAGAAGGACCCACAACTAAAATACACAACTATGTACTGGGAGGATTTGGGAAGAAAAAGCAAAAAAGAAAAAAAAATATATATATGTGTGTGTGTATATATATATATATATATGTTCTCAAAATCTAAAGAAAACAATCCTAACTACATCAGCTACAGAGACAATGAGGCCATGTCACCTGGGACAGCAACTGGGGTTTGCCAACCACACACCTGATAGAAGACTCGTGTTCTCAGTGTATTTAAGAAACTCGGATGACAACAATAAAAAATAAAAGAGAACAATATAAAGACAAATAATACAATTAAATTACGGGCAAAGAATGTGAGCCAACGTTTCTGCTAAGAAATACAAGTGGCCACTAACCCCGAACAGATGCCAGACATCACTCACCAGGGAAATGCAAATGAAAACCACAAGCAGGCCCTCCCCACGCCCTCCAGTATGGCTGTAAGACGGACAAACAAGTGCTGGCAGGACGTGAGGACGGTGGAAGCTCGTCCATTGCTGATGGGAACGTAAACGGTGCAGCCACTTGGGAAGACAGTCTGGCGGGTCCTCAGGGATGAACACAGAGCTACCACATCACACAGCAATTCCATGCTAGGTATCCATCTCCCCAAGAGAAGCAACAACAAACATCAACACAAAAACTAATACAAAGGTGTTCCCAGCAGCATGAGTCATAACAGACAAAATGTGGCAACAGCTCAACAGTCCATCAAGTGATCTAGAGAAGCAACATGTGGAATATTCTTACAATGGAGCACGATGTCGCAATAGGAGGAACGAAGTACTGGCCCATGGCACCAATCTATGAACCTGAATAACGTGAATGGGCTTCAGAAAAGACCACATAGAGCACGATGGCATGTACGTGAAATGTACAGAATAGCCCAATCTATAGAGGTGGAAAGGAGAGTAATAAATTGTCCAGAACCCAGGGCGGGCTGGACTGGAACACAGAGTGACTGCTGGCACATACAAGTTTTCTTTTGGGGTGATAAAAACGTACTAAAATTAGACTACTGGGATGCCCTTTAAATAAACTTTGTGGTATGTAAACTATCTCAATTACAGTTGCTTAAAAATACATTCAACATGCTAAACACACACCCTTCTTCAACCAATGGCAATTTTATTAAAAAAAAAAATAGAACTTGGGCAAATAACAGAAAGTGTGGAAAAGGAAGAAAATGACAGATGTTTCTGAGATTCAGCAGATTGCGGAGATGTTACAAACCACGTGTGGGAGAACATCCTTCGGATTAGACACAATGGGACAAGTGTAAGGAATCGGTAAACGTCCCTGAGATGACGCAGTGAACAGAGCATCTGAGGATGTCTGTGGGCATTAAAGAAACCTAACCCATAGAGCCAGGTGTCCCCACCATCTAAATGCCAGGTTCCCGCCATTCCCAGCCCAGGGAGCAAACATTCAACAATCGGTGACTCCACACTGTAGAAACTGCAGAGCGTTACCAAGACCAGAAAGTGACAATCCTAACAATATTCACAGACGATGACATCCACACTTATACAGGTGAAAGGCTTTTTAAAAGAAATCTAACACATAAGCGCATAAACAGCACAACGCGTCAAAATCAGGTTCAGGACCAGCCTCGGCGGCCTTGTGGTGGAGTTCGGCGCGCTCCGCTTTGGTGGCCCGGGCTCAGTTCCCAGGTGCAGACATACAGCACTCCTCTGGGAGGGGCCATGCTGTGGTGGCCCACATCCAAAAACAGAAAAAATATCAAGGTCATTTTATCCAGAAAGGCAAGATGGACGAAATGTTGACTCTTCAGTGGGTATACTGTGTCCCAGCAATGGAAAGACTCGCCTGTCCCCGTCAGTGTTCATCTGTGACAAGACGTGAGAGACTAGAAGGGAACACGCATTATCAGGAAAAAATGGCATCTAGAGAGACCCAGAGCCAACGTCCTACTTAAAGCGAAACGTGACAGCTGTTCCCTCCGAGACCAGGAAGGAGGGGAGGCGGCGCCTGTGTGCAGTTCCGCCCCGCGAGGCCGGGCCAGCACTGCAGCAGGGACAGGAAACGGGTAAAAGCTCTGCAAAGGGGAGAATCGACACTGCGTGGTTAGAGGGCAAGATGGGTAGGGAGAAATGCCCAAGTGCTAAGGACACATTATTAACACTTGTAACTGGCTTAGCGAGGGTGCCGGGGAGAAGTCTAACATGCACAGGTCAATTTCAGCTCCGCGTGCAGTGACAGGAGGAAAATGACCTTTTAAAGGAGATGATTTAGTCTGTTTCTCCCACTCTCCCGGGCACGCAACCTGCCGTGGCCACCAACTGTCAGGATGTGACATGTGCTAAGAAGGACCCGCAGATGGAACTGGAAGCCTTACGTGCTATTTCTCAAGGAGAGGGAAGTTTCTGGGAATTCAGTCCAGTTTCCTTTCAATATGGGGTGAAAATGGTGCTCCCAAGGCCTGGGGAACAGACATTTCCTGGGCAGAAACAGTCCAGACGCGCCCACCGCGTGCCGGCGGCGGAGCAGAGCGTGGCAGCTCCTCTCGGAACCGACACAACCCAGGGACTGTCTGAGCCGCCAAGGACAGTTCCTGAAGGGCCACCCCACTAATCCTGCGATGCGTACACGCAGCAGCATCTCAGATGCGACTCCTAACGCGGCCCCATCACGTGACAACAAAGGCAAAAAGAAGAGCTTCTCGAAGTGCAGAATCGTAAGACGGCAGATAGAACCGGGGGAACTGGAAGGACGGCCGGGCTGATGAAGCCTCGTAAGCACAGTTTTTCCTCTTCTGTGTTGGGAACAACCCAGTCCTTCCCTCCTGCGAGTTGTCCCCTGTGTGTGTCTCCTCTGCCTCCTCAGGAACACTTCACTGCTGACTTCTGCTCACCCACGTGTGGAGGTTTGCCCCACACGAAGCAGTTCTCTGCGACACCAGCGGAGTGTCCTACACGTTAACTCAGTTCTGACACCATGTACCCGGAGATAGCGTCAGATCCCACAGGTAAGGGCTCAGGACCAGGAGGCCCCCAATCTCCCCAACACACACTTCAGAGGCCAGTCACGAGCCTAGGTTGTCACCTGTGCTTGTGACCAACGGGCTAAAGATCAGAGGTTCCAAGGACCCCTCCTTGGCTTTCATTAATTTGCTAAAGCGGCTCGCAGAACTCCGGGAAACATTACTTACGTGCAGCAGTTTATTAAAGGAAGTGATGAAGGATGCAGACGCACATCCAGATGGAAGGCGTGGAGCTTCCATGCCCCGTCCAGGCTCAGCACCCTCCCTCCACCTCCACCCCTCACCAACCTGGAAGCTCCCTGAACCCACACTATTGGGATTTTTATAGAGGTTCGTCATGGAGGCAAGATCGACCATTAACTCCACTCTCAGCCCTTCTCCCCTCTTAGGAGAATGAGGGCAGGGCTGAAAATCCCAACCTTGTATCCGTCACTTGGTCTTTTCCGGTGATCGCACCTCATGCAGGAACCAGCCGGGAGCCCACCCAGAGTCACCTTATTAGAACGAAGGACACGCCTATCACCCGGGAAATTACAAAGGTGTCAAGAGCCGCGTGGGAGGAGCTGGGGGCAGAGACCAATATGTATTTTCTATTTTCTCACAAGCCTTTCAACACCAACTGGCTCTAAAGGTGGTGAATTGTGTTCAGACCTGGGGACAAGGAAAGAACATCCTTTAAAAAGTAACTAGTTCATAATCCTTCGTGACTGTTTCCTAGTAGGGAGGGGGCTTTCTAGAAAATACGATTCTTGGTATGTTTCTCAGGTAAAAACTGTTGTAAGCTGACAGTTCATAGAGAGACGTGATTTTATTAAATTATTTTCACAAACCTGCGTCATCAAAGGTGACCCTGTCGTGTGTGAGTGTACTTTATAAAGGCTGCTGAGCTCTGAAAATGGACATATATGAGGAATAATTAATAATCTGTGTTAATATATAAGATCTTATTCTACTGGATCTATTTCTTTAAAGGCATAGGGAGCCTTTTGCAAACATTCATCCCAATGCAGCAAAATACTGAGTTTACAGTTATCCCACCGCATGGTCCCTGGTGATGGACTCTCATCTTAAGTCAAGTCTCCATCTCATCTTTCTCTTTATCACGGAAGCAGAAATTGCCCCGAGAAATTTAAATATTGGTA